CACTATAAAAGTTGAACATCTGGGCTGTTACTCTGTATAGCCCATTTCATCTATTTTATCTAGGGCTGAAAAAATGAATCGTATTAATTGATTATTTCAATAATCGTCAACTAATTTAGTATGTGATTAATCATTAACTGGAGAATGGAGACTATAAAACATAATATAAATGTAAAATGTCCCCCTTTCCCCTACAGAGCAATCCACTTAGATCAGTAATTATACCAAAATTGTAAAAATACAATACATATATATATATATATAAGATTAAAAAAAATGTTTTGTCTGTCAATATTCTCCATCCATGTGGAAATATTTTAGTTTCACCTGGTTTATTTAGACATCACCTGAAGCACTGAAGGGCCAGTTGCTTCACCTACAAGCTGCCCTGCATCATTATTACTGGATATCTGTGTTTCCTATAATCATATAATGTATAACTGTGTTTTTAATAGTAAAGGATTAAATGTAACACAACCTTTTATCATTGTCCTATATTGCTTATTGTCTGACTGTTTAAATAGCTCCTTACTCTATTTTCTTTTTTAGTGGCATCATCTACAAACACAACACTAAGAATGAGCCTAAGTGTATTCAAATATAAAATAATTTTTAACAATTATAAAAGACAATATAACACTATCTTATCTGTAATTTAACATTATCCAAAATAAACAGCCAGATTCAAGCATTTTTACCAGACATTAATGTTTGTACTAATTTACTTATAGACTGTGTGGAAATCTATGTAAGATAAAATCAATGTTTATATTCTTCCTTTGTTTGTTCTTGTCTTTATCCTATTTCTAGAAGTATAAATAGTCAATAAAATAGAACTATTAATATGTGGAACCCTAATTATGCTTTTTAAACGAAAAACAGCAGATGTTTAGGCCCCATTTCTTGTTGTTGTACTCTATAAGAGAAATAACACCTGCTAATAATTATACCTGAACTTTCTCAAAGAGTCATAAAAAAAATGAAACCAGTAATAGCAACTAAATATTGGTAAAAAGGAAACACTCACTTTTTCTTTTTTAGTTGGCTGTGGCTAAGAATCAGAAATGTTGATGGCTTACAGCCTTTATTTGCCCATTTTGTGTCTTCAGAACTCCTGGCTGACTCGGAATATTTCGCTTTATAAAAGAAAAAAAAGGTTTTTGTTTTTTAGTGTACATGATATTCATTTTTTTTTTATTGGGACTAGTTTTGTAGCCTAATATTTATTGTAGTAACCGCAGCATTCTAGTGTGAATCAATTTTCAATTTTGTGCTCCAAGCACACCAGGACTAGAAAACAGCCAATCAGAGAGAGAGAAGGCGGAACCTAAGGCAGAACAACCAATGAGAGTGGAGTTAAACAGCGCAGCACAGTTCCATGCGCTGCTGCGTGAAAGGGACAGGAGAGACCAGGCAGAGGAGCTGCGAGAGGAAAAGAAGCCTCTGCTGCGATAACCACTGCTGTAAATTATAAACATGTTGCTCACATCCAATTATTGGTAGGGACAATTAGGTCGGTTCAAAATTTTGGTAGGGACATGTCCCTATGGTCCCTATGCAAACCTACGCCCATGCCATAAATACAGGACATGAGTTTCTACTGAATAAATATAGAAATGAATACCATTATAAACAGAATTTTACTAAAAGATTTGTCCTATGAATATAATATATAGATAACTAGTGTTATGAACTAAATTTATTGCTGGATATGTACCGAATATAATATACAGGTGGATATTACTATAAATAGGGTTTTTACAGTTATGTACAATAGCATAATATACAGATGGCTTTTACTATAAAATGAATAAATCAAGTTTGGACAGAAGCTATCTAAATTAAGGTGCAGTGGAAGGTAATTGCATATTACATTTAAAGTATGGTATTGCAAATGTATATGTAAACAATTGGTACTGTGAAGAAACAGTTGGCAGTGCAAATCAGTCAATACAGTAGTATATCAAGATGTAGCAGAACCAACAACTTCTGAAAGCAAGGTGGTGGCTAAATTATCCCTCTGAGCCATGATCTTCCTAAACTAAAGGTAACTGAGCTGAAAATGAACTGTAGAGTTTTTGAGTACTGGATTTTCTGCACACAAGCATACAACCCTTCGTCTCCCTCCAGTGGCCAAATGTGGAAAGACACACGGCTTGCCATTTTTTTCTTATAAGACTTTAGACTTAGACAAACTTTATTGTCAGTTTGTATACACTGCGTAAATGAGCAGCAGCTTAGCAGTGAAATGAACAATGAGCAGCAAATCCATAAAGTTCAGCAGTGATCAAATGTAAAAAGTGTGGGGGGAAAAAACATGGTGTAAAAACCCATTGATGTGGAAGTTCAGAGCATTTCAAGACAAATATATATGGTGGGAATGTGCAGTATTCTGATTTGGTTTTATCAGTGTGATGCAGAGCAAAAGCATCACTTATACCAAGGTGCATCTTCCACAAAACACAGGCATGTAATACTGTATAATAAACTCAGAGGTGCAATTACAGACTTTCTAAGGGACACATTAAACACTCCCAATAGACTTTTTTTATGTTTACGTCTACAAATTATATTTTAATGGTGAAAAAAACAAACAAAACATTTTTTACAGACTTTCTGTACACACTGTTCCTCTGCCTCATCTGCACGGTACATCCCTCTGTCTCACATGTTCCTGTGGTGATCAACTTGTCATGTCTTCCTGCAACAAATTTCCCTAAAGGACCCAGTGAATAGGTGCTCAGCAGGTATTTAAACCTGTTTATAAAACTAAGTTTACATCACCTCCCCATTGTAGAGTAATATCTAAGTTAAGGCCCTTGAAACCTGTGTCACTCCCACGTTTAATAATCCATCTGCTCTACTTTATTTCATTGTCTATAATTGTCATTATCATTATCAAATCAAAGTGGTTGTGTAATGGGGAAGCAGAAAAAGAGCCATATATACATACATTTCCAAAGTGTGTGCATATTTACTGTAGCATGGCTGAGCCACCATTTTTAAGAATGCATGACAGAAGCGGTCAAACTCTGGTTCTGCTGAGGGGTATTTGGAGCTGAGCTTGTTTCGATATCTGAATCATAGGCTTTTTTGGGTCTGGTTCCTCTTAGCAATTCCCCATAGATTGGAGGTGTGGGCAGATGCCGGAAAACGAACATCTGCATCAACGTGTATTTTTGATGGAGATTTTGGATCTTCTTGTTGTTTACCTTTAGTTTATATAAAAGCCAGTGTAATCCGTTTGACTCACTGAGCAACAACTCCCTCTTTGGATAATGTAGCTTTTGACAAGCTAATTCCATAGCTTGTCAGTAAAAGGATGCATGAGGTACTCTAACATGTTCTGATTTCACTGAGGACTTGAGAGAACCCATTGGAATGATGGATAAACAGATGACATGGCACCTCAGAACATCTGCTACTTAGAGCAACAGAAATCATAAGCCTCTCCACTCCTCCTCTAGAATCGGACACCTTTTATATAAAAGGCAATATGTTCTTTCATCCCTCAAGAAGACATTGGGTCTCTGAACAACTGTAGCTGTTTTTCTCTTTTGCCAGGATGGACTGCTCTGACATTGCTTCTGGTTCCGAGTATCTTGACATGAGGAGTGAAATATTTGAAGCCAATAAGAATCCTAATAAGGCTTCTTATTGCACCTTTTTCTTCCTCTACATTCACACCACTGCAGTGTACTTTTCCACTTTTATTATGTTATCAGGCTTTGTTGATGTACAGGGCTATTGGGCAGTGTTGGCTTAGTGGTTAGAGCAGTGCGCTTGTGGTCTGAGGAGGTTGCAAATACCTGGTTTGATCCCCACAGACTCCACTCTGGGTTCCTGACAAAAACCCTTAACCCCACACTGCTCCCCGGGGGCCGCACAATTGCAGCCCACTGCTCTCCAAGGGGATGGGTTAAATGCAGAGGTAAAATTCTCCAGTTTGAGATCAACGAAGTTCAATTATTATTAGAATACAGTGTAGTTCAGATACAGCACTCAGAATAACCAGCTTCTTTAGAAATGGCCTTTTGAGACTTACCTTCCTGCTACACTGGAAAAACGATTTAGAAATTAGTAAAGATTTCTTAAATTAAGTCCTTAATTTGAGTAAGTAGATGAAAGTTTGCCAATGGAATGAGTATTTTCACTCTTAAAATAAGATTAGATAATATGCTCTTGAAATAAGAAAAATTGTGTGTTCTTATTTTAAGTGTAAATTGTCTTGTTCCATTAGGAAAATGTCTCTATTACCTCCGCAATCCATGAACAAATGCTCTTATTTTAAGAAAAAATTACTTGTCTACATTTAGATTTTTTTCCGGTGTAAAGGATGTCTTCTGAAGGTCATGTCAGCTGTCTTTTTCATGACTGTATAGGGCCATAATATGGCTTTTAAGCAACATTTCTACACCAAAAACACAATTATATTGCTTTATGAAATTCAAATATTTGTTTTTCTGTATCTTGAAGCACCAATCATCAAAATAGCAAGAAAAAAAAAAAGGCCTAAATAATTTTACCTCATAGTAATGAATTAGCAATATCATTTTACAAAATGGAGACAGTGAACCTTTTTTCACCATATAATTTTCTTTTTTAATTTTCTGAAATTCAGCTTTCAAAATAATATAATTTTATTCAGTCGTTAAGCTGTTCACATAGGTTCATAAGGTAACTTCTTCCCTAAACGAATGAAGGCTTTTTAAAGGGCTTTTTATATCTTATCATCTGAAACATCTAGGTGTGATAAAGAACAATAAAACCCCTTTTCCATTTTCCTAATAAACTGGTTCATAATATCAAGGTTTTCCTCTGTATTTGCTGTCAGCATGGGAATTAAAATTCTCCAAGTAATCCAAGGCCAGCATGGGGCTTTGTACAGTTGCAGAGTTTGAGCAGATCGAAACCTTCATTATTCTTAAAAAATGAAAACGTACCATCTTTTTATTTGAGGCAATTGATTTTAAAGATATAAAAGGAAAAACATTACACAGTTTGTCATAGCAACTCAGTTTTTAATATTATAAGATATAAAAATCTTCATCTTTATCATACAATAACATCTTTCCCTAACATCATCAGTCAAAAGAGGGAGCGTTTTGCCACCAAACAATAATCAAAATAGAACGTTGATCCCTTTTGAGGTAAGACAGCTTGTTATTAGTTTGTTCCGCCATACAGGTCTGTCCTTTCTGAATCACATTTTAACTCGACACCCTAGAGAAGATCACTGATCAGCTGTGTTGAAAGTGTAAACCAGAAAGAAGCAGAATGAAATTAAAATATGAATTGAAAAAAAAGAGGAAGGAACGTCTGCTTGGCATTATTAGGCAGTTGTGCTTAAATGCTCAGTGAAATCAGGACAGCAGTGTGCAAGTTTGTCTCCGTACATTCTTACAGCAAAAGAAGAGACCTGTAGGCCAAAACATTCGTATACCATGATCTGCTCAGCATGTCTTCCACCATTTTAAATCATCCCTTTCTTGAGACAGAAAAAAGAAAGAATACAATCATCAACAAAAGCAGCCAACACAATAAACAGCTTTCAATATGCATTATCCAAGAAACACATTGGAATAAACGAGAAACCAAAGCATCGAACAGATTTCAACATGCCACATTGTTCCTTGGGCAGATTTTCTTTCACAGAAAGCCAACTATTTCACTAGTCTTAGTCATAAAAATAGTAGACATCTCAAACAGATTTTTTTCTTTAATCAAGCAGAGAAAGAGAGCAGCAGAAACAAAGAAGCCACATGACATCTTCACGTCACCATGCCAATGACTCTGCAGACAGAACTGACGCACACTGCAAGTCATGCAACTCGCACTCACTCACACATGTAAAATTAAACACAGGTATAGATTGACATCAACCCAAAAAACAACATTTCCCAGAATTCCCAATGTTGCGGTTTTAACCAGAGTCCCAAAAACATCTTTAATTAACATCTTAAATCTGCTTTTTGAAAAAAAAAGAAAAAAGGATTTACAGCAGTTGGACGATACTGTGGCTTTGTGCTGTCCGTGCACATCCACTTGGCAGCACATCCAGAATATAAAGCTTCAAAAAAACGGAAAACAGACAACTGAACAGGCCAACAGACAAGCGTGCAACAGGAACAAATTACAGCAATGAGAGAAAACGTCCATCGTCACAACCAAAAGCACGGCTGCATCCACTCTGCCGCAGGTCATGCAAACGCACATCATCCCCCCCCCAAAAAATACCCATACATCCCAGCTGTTAAATACCCCACCCCAACGCATCCCCTTGCAGTGTCCTCATCGCTTGTCATCATGATCTTTAGCAGGTCCAAGTATGGGGCTCATAGCAGCTGGGGAGCCCACGCATGGAGGACGATAGCCGGAGCGGAATAACGTGATGTCACAAGATGAGTGCAGGACCACAGTCAGTGTTCCTTGGCTGGTTTTGGCGGCTGGACGCTACGTCCCAGAGCAAGCTGACTGGGCTGGTCTGGAGCTGGAAAGCTGTGGTTTTAAGATCCAGCTCCATTCAGCGGGATGGCTGTTTTTTTCTTTTCTTTTTAAGTCGCTACAGGGAGGTGGAGGGCAGCTTCTTGACACGCCGCTGAGCCAGGAAGGAGCTCTCAATGGGTTTAAGCTCCGGAGGAGGCTGGGAGTTCTTCAGGGCAGAGTAGGTGGCTGCCATTGCACCCTGAAAAACAGAGATGATCATTTTTCTAAATGTACGGCAAGTTTATTTGGATCGCACAATTCAGTGCAAGGACAATTCAACGTGCTTTACATGAAAATCTAAGAAAAGTAAAAGTAGAATAAAAGCAAGAAAAGCTAAAAACATGATCAAAGCAGGTAGTTAAACAAATAAAACAGTTGAACGACAACCTTCAACTAATAATACCTCGCTCACATTACAGCGAACTAAGTCATTGCTACGTCAAATCTCTTAGGAGAACTGTTAAAACCAGGAAACGCAAACATCATATGAAAGATAACTAAAGTCTTTCCTAAGTTTAAAAACTAACAAATGCAACAATATTATACAAAAAATACATTTAAACTAAATGGTGCAGTCCAAAGTTTGGAAAAAGTAAATGATCCTATTGACAAGAAGTCACTTAAACAAATCCAGGAAATGAGGCTCTTGGTATTATGTAAACATTACATTAGAATCTGTTCCACAGCTGAGGAGTTTGGTTACCTTGACCAGTTTGAGGTCCTGGTGAGGGAGCTGACTGTTGGGCAGTTTGTCCCTCTGGACAATCCAGGGATGTCTGAGGACCTGCTTTGCAGTGAGTCTCTGATGGGGATCCACATGAAGCATCTTGGACACAAGATCCTAGAAGTACCAAAACATTATTAATAAGGTGAGAATGAGGGAAAATAGTGCATGAATAAATATTTGAGGAAACGTCTGCTCTACCTTGGCAGCATCAGATACGGTGTCCCAGTTTCCTCCAGCCAGGCTGAAGTGGCCGTTTCCTATCCTGTTCAGGATCTCGTTAGGGGTGTCCTCAGGCCCGTTGGCAAACGGAGTAAAACTGATGGAATTTAAATGAATAGAGAGGATCGAGTAAATAAGAATAGTGATTAAAAGACAAAGCATACAGACACAGCTGATGACTTACCCAGCCAGCATGGTGTACAGCAGCACCCCGAGACTCCAGATGTCACATCCTTCGTCGTAGCCTTGACGCTTCAACACCTGCAAGCCCGGATTACCATGCGTTACAATTTTGATATCAACATCAATCCAGGTGCAGCAGTCTGGACTCGTGACCTGCTCACCTCAGGAGCTACAAAGTTTGCAGTGTAGCATGGAGTCATAAGCAGCCCGTTGTTGGCACGCAGCTGCTTTGCAAAGCCAAAGTCGCAGATCCTGATGGACTCAGGATTTCCTGATTCGTCGACGTAGAGGATGTTGCTGGGCTTAAGGTCTCTGTGAACAACCTGCAAAAAACAGGAGGAGAGTAGAAAAAGAAAAGTGGAAGAGACCAGCAAAGGACAGACGGATGGGTTAATGACAGAAATGTGATACAGAAACTAATTTATTTCAGTACTTTAGTTCAGAAAATAAAACAAGAAAAATTGAGATTTTTTAACCACGGAATGATACGTTCTAAAGATGCAACTATATTGGTTTCAATGTTTTAGGCTTAAAGCTAATTGAAACCCAAAATTCTGTTTCCTGGTAAGTTAAAAAAAGAAATTGATAAAAAGTATTTGTAATTTATAATTGTTATGGTAAACTCAATCATAGGAAAGCTGACTGACTAAAAAATAATGCAGCTGACCTTTGGACCCTTCAGGTATAAGATGGTAAATAATAAAAGGTCATCGCTAAATAAGCTGGCTGTTAAAAGACTAATGTAAGCTAGAAAACTTAGTGGAAGGAAAAAGTGTGGCTAAAAACATTCACAGACAATGTGAATAACTGAAGCCTTGGGAAGATTATGAAGCAAAGACTTTTGAAGAGTTTTGTTGAGATCCCCAAGGCGTACACTAAGGCTAAGACCTGTGCTTCATAAAGGTTCCACACAGAGATGTGGTACCATAGCTGTGCTGATTTCCTTAGGCTTGGCCCCTTCTCTACCTGGCATTATAAGAAAAATTCTGGATTCCTGTTAGGTGGGAAAGTCATCTTCTCAGATAAAAACAAGATCCATATTCTGGATGGGGAGTGGAGATGCATAAAATAGAAGATTCTTGAGTTTCAGTTAAGTTCCTAAAATAAGCAATGATGTGAGCAGGAGCAATACCATCTGCTGCTGATGACCCACTGTGCTCCAATAAACTTAAATTAACTCATAACTCTGCTTGTTTGATGTAATAATTTATGCAAAAGGAGCCCTGACCAGACATGGGTTGTAACTAGTTACATTTACCTGTTGCATTACTTCAGTAGGAATAGTTTTACTGTGCTGTCCTTCTTAATTTGTTACTTTTATTTTAATGATATTAACGTTAATTATTACTACTTGTGTCAAAGTTCTGGTGACTTTACCCCTCCCCTGTGAATAACTTGAGTAATTCAGAAATCAGGAGAAAATACAGTAAACAGTAGAAATTGTGAATAGGAGTTCTTTACCCTATCCTAACACATTTATAACATTCTCATTGCAAGGATTGGTTTCTTAGGTTTTATGTAAAAAACAAATTATTTGGTAAGTGAAAAATTCTTCTGGATTATTGTTTAATTTTATAATGTATGTGCATATTAGTCTTGAAAATACCAAAACTTTTGCATAAAGGTACTCTGACCATTAAATTGTATATTAGTCATTTACTGAGTTGGCCTGGTAACAAATATTTTTATAATTTTTTGTGAGTGAAGTAATCTTAAAGTAATGCTATTCTTAATCGAGTACCATTTTTGGGAAGTCTTCAGTAACATTTTTGGACCCAATAAAAATATTTGTTTCTTTCTCGTGGAACAAATGCATTTTTCTGAATTTTGGGTTTTCTTTAGCTGTAAAATGTAATCTTGAACTCAGCAGCAATAATAACTTGAAGGTCAAATTTGCCTTTAAATTAGGGCTTAAAAAATTAATCTGATTCATTGATTATTGAAATAATCATCAACTAATTCAGCAATCGATTAATTGAGATTAGAGACTGTAAAACAGGCATTTAGCTGACAGAGCAACCCACTTAGAGCAGCAATTATACATAGATCATAAAAAAAATAAAATATTTTGCATTTAAGATAAAAAAAAAAAAGGTTTTCGTCCATCAATATGCAACTAGAACTCCTTCAGTGGAAATGTTTTTTTTTTCAACTGGTTTATTTTTGTAAAAAAAAAAAACCTCTTCTTTAAGGAACCTTGGGCTATCAGATTGTTAATAGATTAATCGAAAAAATAATGGACAGATTAATCAATTTGCAAAATAATCATTAGTTGTAGCCCTACTTTCAATGATCTCATCATAGAGAAGGGTTTTCATGCATCATGTAATAGTGCAGAGCTCCTTTAAAGAACATTAGCTGGAATAATTATTGGTGCTTTAATTTTGAACTTAATATGAATATCATGCATTTAAACAACAGTTTTGTTAGACAAGTTTTAGAGGGTAAACCCAATTTACAATAGATGAATGAAAAATCCCTCCTTTTGAAGCAAACTAATCCAAACGCTCACCCCCTGTGAGTGGAGGTACTCCACAGTCTTTGTGATGGTGTGAAGCACGGCGCTGGCCTCTCGCTCTGAAAAGAACTTCTGCTTCAGGATCCGATCGAGCAGCTCTCCTCCACGCATCAGCTCCGTCACCATGAACACCTGCTTCCCGTTGTCATACACCTTAAACAGAAGCATGGCTTCAGAAACCTGAAAGCTCTCTACTGACAGGCGGATGTTGATGTAGACTCACATCCTTCAGTGTAATGATGTTGGGGTGCTGTCCATATCTGAGCAGAATTTCAATTTCCTCCGACGGATCTGTGCTGGTCTTGTCAATCACCTGGAATAAACATTTGGAGGTAGAGAATATTTTGGTTACAGTGTTTTCTCTTCAGTTTAAAGTAAAACACAACAAAAACCGACACAGACGTTTTGTTCTGAAGCTCTTCACTACCTATAAAAATAACAGTCTTTCTTTTCTTGGATCTGTTCATACCTTGACAGCATACTCTGTGTTGGTGGCTTTGTGAATACAGCGCTTGCAGACAGAGAAGGAGCCCATGCCTATGTCCTCCTTGAGGATGTACCCGTCACTGAACAGAAGGTTTTTCCCATGTAGTTGCTGCAGAGAGAAAGTTGAAGCTTGAGAAGCAGAGCGGAGGAGTGACAGGCTAACAGAACCGACGGCGGCAGAGGACATTGATCATTGATGGATTTCAGGAAGGTTGTTTTCTTCAGCTGTTACTTTAAATCTATTGTCTGCAGTTAATTATAATTCTTTAAAAATTTGAAAAATACACATATTTTTCCCACTTGTGGTCAAATTCATTCAATTCAATTCAATTCAGTTTATTTATATAGCACCAAATTCACAACACATGTCATCTCAAGGCACTTTACAGTTCAACCAGATCATACAGTCAGATTGATACAAAGTTTTCTAATCTAAGGAAAACCAGTTGATTGCATCGACTCATTGACTCAAATACAATCCCTCACACTAAGCATGCTTGTAGCGACAGTGGAGAGGAAAAACTCCCTTTTAACAGGAAGAAACCAGGCTCAGTGTGAGCGGCCATCTGCTGCTCCTGCATGGGAGGATCAGATTTTTAAAAACTGCAGAGCTACAGTGCCTGGTAAGGAAGTATTGACTCACTGCAAAATACTGAAAAAAGAGCATCTGTCTTTTAACTTCAGAGTAACTTACTAACAGCTGTGTCACAATAAACACATAAAATACACAAATTTTTTAAAAGAAAACAAAAACAAGCAAAAGAGATCAATGGTTACAAGTTATTGTATATTTTATTCTCATTCTGAACACAGACTAAAGCAGCTGCTGCATTAAGAAACTGTTTGGTGACTTAAATATTCTTATCACCTTATTTCAGCAATTAAGCTAGTTGATGCACAAGTTGATGCAACCAGTTTTTACAATTACAGGGAAAAAAGGTCTGAGTTTATAGTAAAAACAGGAGGATTATGAAGCTTATTAAGACATAAGGCTTATTCTCATTTGTTGTTGAGCAGAGGTGCTGCACAACAGATGGAGCAGATTTATTGTAATAAACAACTCAAAAGTTTGTTTTATGTTTCCTTTTTCAGTGATTAGGCAAATACTGCATACTGGCCCTGGATGCAATTTAACATTATATCATATCATAATTGTCTGTTTTTAAATAGAATATGAAGATCTGTTTTTTTTTTTTTTTTAAAGATGACATGTAAGCAGCAAATTAATGAAAAGAATGATGATAGGTAAATTCGCTTAATTGCTATTTTGTTAGCAGAGGGTGAAATTTGCTTCAGGTGAAATATAGAGATGTTTATTTCTGTTGTCCCTATCTGGGACAGAACTGTTCTCCAGGCATGTTGGTATCCCTGCGGAGGGATCCACTTTTACACAAACCTACGCCTTTCACTCGTTCTACCCACATTTCCCTCAGTGTTTCCCATTGTTTGCATGCTCAATAAGTGACGCGTTCTTATTACTGACCTGGACCACTGGGTGTGGTGGGGGCTGCGGTGGCTCTGCTAAACCTTCCTCCTCCAACAGAGTGGATGCAACAAAGCTGAAGCCTCTGAACAGCTGATGAGCTCCAGCACTTGGGGGGACACCAGGCGAGTCTGGGACATGGTAATAAATATGTGCGTTATAAAGACAAAATGGGAGGTGGGCCAACTGCAGCACCACATTTCAGTGGTTCACGTCTCACCTTTGGGTGTGCGAGACGTAAACTCTGAGTCAAAGTAGAAGGTGTCGTCTGGACGGGCTACAGCCGGCCTGAACGGCGGCTTGACTTCCCTTCGGAACAGTTTCTGAGGAACATGGAACATTTTTACGACCCCTGGGTGTACAGCTGATGCTTCAGTACCATCTGGAGAACAACACTTACATTCCAGTCTATAGTGGAGAAGAAACCGTGCCTCTTTATCTCCTCTGCACCATCAGCACAGGATCCTACAAGCATGACGGCATAATTAAGCAGAATCAAAAACAAGCAAACGTGACTCTAGATAAATCTTCCCCAAAAATTGTGTCAGAAATTCCGCCTTTGATAGAAATCAGATTTTTTTTTTTTTTACTAACCAAATCTGTTGGCAGGGTTCCTCTTGAACAACGCCCTGAGCAGAGACTGGGCTTCAGCACTAAGGAACTGAGGCATTCCTAGGCGTGCCCTGCAGGGGATACGGCATACGGCAAACGGATTTAATCACTGCACCCAAGGCACAGGGGTAGTATGGGACAAGAGATATTTTGTTCACACTGATGTTACTCACTTTAGGATCAGATTCATTGTCTCTTTGCGGTCCTTCCCTTGAAATGGCAGAGATCCCGTCAGCATCTCGAACTAGCAAAGGAAACTTAGTCAGTATGGATGAATACATGGTTAAGCTTCAGTTCACAGAATAACAATCATTTCTTTCAATCTTCTCACCATGAGGACCCCGAACGACCACCAGTCGGCGCTGTGGGTGTGACCCTGTCTGTTTACAACCTCAGGAGCCATGTATTCTACAGTACCACAGAATGAATAGGCCTTCTTCTCATGATCAATGGCTTCTTTGCACAAGCCGAAATCTGAAATACACAACAAAAGATAACTTTTAAACAGCGTGTCTTATCTTCCTCTTTATAATAAGTCTCAGATTTTCTGCGCCGTTTAGGTCAAAATGATTTATGGCCAATTAGGCACCATGACACCGTGTTCTTTAGTTTGAAATTTGTTTTTTGGGGATTTAGGAAGGTTAACAGAACTGCAAGAAAAAAAATTAGAAAAAAAAAAGCTCAGCAGGAGAAGAAAAGCCAAAGATTAGATGTGCTGAGTAGGACCTTTATTTCCAATTTGAATTGGAATAGAGGACTGGCCTTGTGAAGCTGCCCGAAACCAATATGCTACGTTCATCCTGCATGCACTAGAGGCAGCAGAAGCTAGTTTACATGCAAAGTCAATGGTTGACATGCATCCAGGAGCAGCAAAAGGTCCCAGCAGCGCCTCATAAGCTTCCGAGCATCTGAAGCGCGAAAAGCTACCAAAGCAGCAGCTGCTGGAGTTGGAAAAATTAAATTTTTGCTGTTTCATCGCACCACATCAGCCAATCAGAGAAGCTGATCTGGGAGCTGGCAGGGAGACAGGCACAGCGCTGATGCAGGGAGCTATGAACACTCCTCTGAAACAGTTTATTAATGCCTAAATTAACTTAAAATGTTAAAACCTGCCGGAAAAATATGTTTGCCTTTATTATTCTGGTGCCCGCAGTTTGGATTACATACATAAAAAAAAAAAACTTCCAGTCCTGTCTGACTGCACAGACAATGTTTTCAGGTGGACTTTCTCACTTAAAAACATATTAAAACTACTTTATACCCACTGATCACAGCAAATATAGCAAAACTGCTCTCTGCCGCTGAACACAGCAGCAGCAGAAGCATCAGATTCATTTTGATGCACTTTACTGGATGTCTGACCTTAATGTGGACAAACATAAAAAAATTAAGCAGCAGAAGCTTTTTTTTGTCTTCCAGTGCTTGTGGCCTGAATGTAGCATTATTTATTAAAATAAACCAAGCAACACTTTGGATTTCATCCGCCATTGTTACAGGCAAAGAAAGGATAGGGTACCTCCGCCTGATGCGCATCAGACCCACTTTTTGACTACACAGCTAGAGCAACATATAGATGCTGCAGCTGCGCGTCAGGACTAAACTTGTACAAGCATCAAACATGAAGCTGTAAGTGCGTTTTTGCCGCTTCCAGCGATTGCGGCCTGAACGTAGCAATAGACTTTACTTTATAATCCTCTCAATAGTTTATAACTTGTCCTTGTGAAGCATTTTCTTAGTTTTTCCTTCCATCTAACTTTCCAGTAGGACGCTCAGGTCGAGCGTTCTGTGACTTTTATGGCTCATTCCTTTTGGGTGTCAAACACGTCCTGCTGAGTTTTGTTCAAAAGTAAAAAATTATGATTGATTTCTAATTGACAAAATAAAATTTGGGTTTTTAATTATCAGCATGTAATTTCATTTTCAACAGTTGCCGTTATGCAACAAACATGTAGAAGCCTTTCAGTTTTTAAATGAAATAAGACTTTTCATTTATATTCTACTTTATAGACATGAACTTGTACATCTCGTCTTATAAGCATCCTAAAGTCGTCTTTCCTTCAGTGACATCGGAACTCATACTGGCTATAAGATAAAATGTAATGTAATGTTAGGTTTACATAAAGATAAGAGTGACGCTGTGCTGAAGGCTAAAAAGGGTTTGCTCTAATTAAACCCTGACAGGTGAAGGAGGAAATGAAAGACTTACCTGTGAGTTTGATATGCCCCTCCTCATCCAGAAGAATGCTGAGGTAAACAACACAGAGTATGAAGAATTAAAATGAGCATGAGGATATTCAGGTTAAGCAAAGATCACAGTCAGCTCTATGGAATAACGTTTCCTTATGGTGTCTTAAACTATCAGCAGCTGCTTTTAGGAGAAAAAGAGCAAAAGAAAAACTCCAGGAAGAGCCAATGCACATCTTAAAAAGAATTCTATGAAGAAGAAATCTATGCACTGATCTGTCAAACATTCATACGGTGGAAAGAATGTCCAGAGTGGCCTTTTTATTCTCCATTTGAGATGTATATGTTAGGCAGGAAGTGTTGGATGTCCATAAATCTCATGCCAGGTCTCAGATGGGGTAAATGGCCCATGTAGCGCTTTTTCAAGTCAGAGGACTTGACCAAAATGCTTTAGACTACATTCAGTCATTCACCCATTCAATCACACACTCACACACAGATGGACTATGTAAGGTAGGTTAATGATGGTAAGGACCAACGACGTAGGAGAGAAAATCCACCTGTCAAAATGATTAGACCATACCAGAGCAAAAATTATTTGAACGGTGCCAAATGTGAGATTCATTTTCATTAAGGGTTATTTCACTTAATCTATTTTTTCCCTTCTCCTTCAAAGATCAGAGAGGCTGCCTGCAGAAATATCCATTAGGCTGAGCAGTTAAACCAATGGTTATGAGAGATTTAAGCAGAAAATATACCAGCAGTACCATGATTTCTTACTGTATTTGAAAAATGTAATGTCAGCACGAATGTCCCTTTATTAACCTCGCTTGGTGGAACTCAGGTATTATAACTGGTTAAATAAAAGTACATTAAAGATAAAGTTATTCAATGGAATAAATGAGATTTTAAATGGCTCTGTATCAGGGGTAACCAATTAAAAATCAGCGGCGTCCAAAAAAAGAAAATCAACAACCAGTAAAGGTCCGGAGACATTTTTAATTATAATCTGTTACATTAAGCAGAATTTAACACTGAAATAAAATGAGGTTTTTATGCATCCATGTTATACATAGACTTTTTATATATATATATATATATATATATATATATATATATATATATATATATATATATATATATATATATATATATATATATATATATATATATATATATATATATAGTGTTAAATTCTGCTTAATGTAACAGATTATAATTAAAAATGTCTCCGGACCTTTACTGGTTGTTGATTTTCTTTTTTTGGACGCCGCTGATTTTTAATTGGTTACCCCTGATACAGAGCCATTTAAAATCTCATTTATTTATTGGAAAAATGTTAAAATCTAAAGTGTTTTTTGAAGTAGAAAACAACGATCGCTCAGTTTGGTATATAGATCATTCCCTGATTCACATAGTTAATAAAACACCTAAACTGAACCATTTGTTTTGTTTTTTCTTTCATTTTTATGGCTTAATAAAAGCAGTGGGCTTTATGCTGCCCTGCAAAGCTTTAAAATCTGGGTCTGAATGGCGACAAAGCCATTCTAAAGCACAAAACAAGGTGCTCATTAATTAGCCTGGATCAATATTTATTTTTCATTATACTCATGGTGGAGAATACTGTTTCACAGCAGCAGGTTGAGACAAACCTACTCAAAATGTGCAGGGTCATCTTTGAGCACACCATTTCACTTTTCTGTCACCAGTTCACCACACTTCACACTTCCACAGGTTTGCCTGCTGTGTCTAAAAGTAGCTAGCGGCAACAACCCAGACTGACAGCTCATTGGCTAATTGGCATCATGTGTAGCCTGGTCCCAAAGGACTTTACTGTACAAACAGGAGAAGCGGCGCAAGTGATGTTACACACTGTTGTGGGACAACATGAGGTAATTTATGAATGTTTTAAGTTAAAGTTTGAACTATGGTAGCACAGCTTCTGATGTAGGACTATAGAATATTTGGATATTCTATTTTTTTCATCAATGGTTTCATCTATGGGTTTTTGGAGAAGGGAAGATCAGGTATGTGCAAAGTTAAGAGGTCTTTTTTCTCAGAAACCATTTCTCATATTGATGTAAAATACTTTATATTTTCCTGTACTTTTAATCACTTTTTAAACATTTTATGTGTTTTACTGGTTTAAAATCTGCTGATTTTAGTTGTCTTCAGTTTTATCCTTTTTTTTCTATTTACATTTTCCTTTAATAATTGTGATCCCAGTTTTGACTCTGAAGAGAATTTCAGAAAATGAGCTTCACAAAAATTTCTGTCCATCTCTTTATTATTGAAACAGTGACTCATTACTTTAAAGCATTGCCTGTTGATCAAACATTTCTGTGTCATGCAGTCTTGTTTGTCTCCACATATGTTTTTATTGCATCGTGTTTTTATCTTATGTAAAGATCAGCATCTTCCTTATATCCGATTAAACTGATTGAACTATTGAATAAAGTTTTTGTCAGGATCTCTTACACAGTTTTAATAGATCACTAAATACTTTCATCTGGCAAGTATGTAACTAAAGGTATGTGGGAAAAACTGTTGTCGAATAATTTCCAGAAGATGAAAAATACAGAATTAAAAGGAAGAACTCCCAGTTCTTACAGTGCCATGTATGGCAGCGATAAAAGGTTAAGTTTCTGATTCAACGAAGAAGATAAAATGCCTAAGACCTAGGAGTGTAAATAATAATCATTTAGTATTGATGCATCAATCCAACAGCCAACGATCTGATGCATCGCCACGTCGAATATTGATTCATGTTTTTTTTTCTTCCGGCTTATTTTTATCCATTTGCTCCTGGACATAATTCTGATTCCCGTGCTGCGGTGGCGCTAAACCTATTTTGCCCTCCTACCTCGCTTCCTTTAGCCACTAAACTCTTTCCGCTTGCACACACACTCGCATAAAAAAGTAGTCAAGACAGACATGGCAGAGGAAAAAGAAGATGACTTACACACCCCTCGCGGGTTCAAGTCATTTGTGTGGAAGTATTTTGGGTTCCATAAGTAAATGAGGTTTTCCTAGGCCTAGGTGGAGTACAACTTTGCTACTTCTGTTATTTGCTGTTGTTTCTCAAATAAAATGCATAACAATATCACAGCTTTCATTGATTTATTTCAAATTTGAAACATTGTCTAGCCTGTAAGGTAAAAAAAAAATAAACAATTAATCTGATCGAATCATATTGTGGTGTAGTCTTGAGTATTGAAAATAATCAAATCGTTGGGTCAAGAAATTGATATTGTATCGAATCGCCATGATGGGTGTGATTTACACCCCTACTAAGACCTCTGCAATAGTTTCTGTGCTTAAGCTTAATTTAATAGAAAATTTAGATCTACATATATTTAGATTTTTTCTTTTTGTGTGCAGGATTTCCTTGCCTCTTTGTTGTTTAGTGTTTCTTTCTTCACTAAATATTACATTTTATAATTGTCATCACTGTTGTGACATAAAGTATGATTCTTCTCTTACTTTTCAGGTTTGAGATCTCTGTAAATGATGCCCAAGCTGTGCAGGTGGTCCAGTCCTAGTGCAAGCTCCGCCAGATAAAACTTCACGTCCTCCTCCGTGAACATCACCTGGAAGGGGTGAGAAAAGTAGAATTTTACGAGAGAGGACGAGATAGAAATCGTAAAAAGAGAAACACCCCAGGCGAATCAGCTAGTAAGATAAATGAATAATGATTTAAGAAGGAATTCACAAGCTTCTTTCACCTCTTTAGAAAGTCTGGTGAAAAGATCCCCCCCTCGGAGAAAGTCCAAGATCAGGTACAACTTCCCTTCAGTCTGGAATGCTGTTAAATAACAGATTTAATGTAAGAAAAACATCAAAACAAAGGATTCAGAATTCCGAGCTCAAATAACCAATAAAATCTGGGTTTGAAAAATGCAGCGACTTTGGTTCAGCTCACCGTAGTGCAGCTTGACAACAAATGGGTGATTGACATCTGCTAGGATGTTCCTCTCCATCTTGGTCCTCACACGGTCTCTTACTGAAAGGGAGAAGAGTTTTAATGCTTACATAAATTTCATGCTGTTGAATTTAATGCTGTACAAATAAAAAAAGGTTATGGGTTTGATTTAGAAGTTTACAAAAAACGAATTCATAAGAGTTGGAAACCTGATCAGCAGTCTGAGCTTTAGGTCTTCCTTTAGCTTTCTGCATTAATTGAGCATCTAATGTTAGACAGATGCTGTGGTATCCAATCAGTGGGGAATAACCCTCGTTATTTTTATACCGCAGCTCTGGACCTTTAATCTGTAAATTCAAATAATGTTGTAGCTCTTGTAGAATATTTTAATGAGGAAAAAAAGATGAAACCTATTCAAACAAGAGGCTCATAAGAAAGTCAGTCCTTTATGTTTTTGAATGCAAACTAAGAGCATTTCAGTCGGCTTCAATCTGCAACTTCACCACCAGGTTTCACTGTTTGCTTCACGGCTTCTAAAAAAAGAAATCTGATGAGCTTTGGATTTGGTTGGTTAGTGTGTTTTCTGATCTCTTCTTCTGGATGAAGTTAAAAGTAAAGTTCTAAATTTAAAGTCAGTAAAAAAAAAAGAAAAAGAAAAAATCCTTGCAAGCAGTTTTTTTTTGGGGGGGGGGTTTGCAGTTTTGACCAAAAACATAAAATCTTAGGTTTGATTTAGAACTTGAGGGGAAAAAAGTACTACGTCTTTCTTAACAGTGTGTAAACATGTGGTTCCAACTTTCATTGATCAGCATTTTGTCTGAAGCCAGGAACAAAATTCACTGCAGATTTGTGAAATTCACAAAAAAAAACATCCTCTTTAGATAACCATGAGAGACATTTTTTGTGCCCGTTGTTTATCAAACTGGTGAGACCACACCACCTGTGAATGAGAGGCAAAAAACCCCACTGAGAGCTGTTGTGGGCGGGGCACAGGGGTGGTGGTCTTTGCTCAGATACCGCTGTTTGTAGCTGCTTTTGACTAACAGGAAAGCAGAAACACTTTAACAGAAAATGTGGCTAAAAACCACAACAGCAAGAAAAAAAAAATATCAAACTGAAGCCAAAGCAAAAGCTTTTCCTGTAGCCTGGGAAAGTACAGCTCTGTGAAAAGATTAACATAAAAACTAAGACAAAAAAGCTAAAATTTCTGCACCTTTAAGAGTCGCCTTCTTCAGGACCTTCATAGCATACAGCTGGTTGGTATCTGGAGGGGTCACCTTTCGAACAAGGAACACCTAAAAACAAAGCAAAATTTTTTTTAAATACCTTATATTTAATATAAGCAAAGTAACACAATGGGGCAACAAAGAGGAACATGGAGGGAAAGATGTTACCTTGCCAAAAGATCCCTGTCCCAACACCTTGAGCAGCTCAAACTGAGAGGCGTCCGCTTTCTCCGAGCCCTCTTTGACCACATGGGTGATGTTGATCTCCTTAATATCTCCATCTTCCTAAAGAGAGAAAAGTCCAGGACATCAGGAAATCAGTCTGCCTTCCAAACGGCGACAACAAAGACAAGATTCTATTTTTCTAACATGAAAGTGTGTTCTATGTTTCCACGTAAAAGTGTCGTCTGGTGCAAATAGACCTGCTCAGAAAGAGGAAGTGGTGGTAAATAGAGAGAAATTCGTGCAAGTGTGACAGATTACACCTCGACGGCTTCTCATCATTGTGATGCTGCATCTTTCTGGAAATTATGGGGCCTGTGATACTAAATGGAAGTACACTGTCGATTGCGAAAAGGGAACGGTTGTGGTTCGCTGTTTGTTTTCTGTCACAAGCTGCTTAACCTCGGCTTCAACTTTTCGATCAAGGACTTTTAAAGGCAGGTCTAACACTGGGTGGAGGAGCCTCGACTAAACAGCAACAGAAAACCATCAAAGGCAGAAACCATTTATTTTCTTTATTTATTTTCTCTTTGAGTGCAAGCCCTTTCAGCTTTAGGTCAAATATACAAGATCTACAACCAGGAAACATGCAAAATTAACCTTTTTTCTTCCCTGTAAGATTAAAAACTGATAAGTATTAAATGCACAAGTGTGTAAATCAATTAATTGAGTTTAACAAGTAAAACACAGAGATTTGTAACACAGGTCTATATCTCAGGTATTTATATCTGCTTTTTGATTATAAATTAATGAAAAGTAGGGGTTAAGAGTTTCACCAAAAATAACATTGCAATTATTTTAACCAAAATTGGAACTATGATTTTAATTTTCATTTGCATTAATCACATGCATGAAGATGATGCACTCCAAGGTCTCATTGTTTTCATGACCTCATAGGTTGCTTGTCTAAGTCCATTGTTGCAGGACTTTACCGTTACTTGAAAAAGTGCTTTCTTCTATTTATTGTATAGATCTGTGTGCTAGCTGCAGCTCTCTTTCCTTCTGAGGGTTGGCAGCATCACTAAGCACATTTCTGCCACCTGAAGGGCTGGAGTGAGAAAACAAGTATTTTACTCCTGTAAAATGGACCAACATTTTCCTGACTCGCGATTTGAGTTTTGTTAAATTGTGAATATATCGGATATGGAATTAATTGCACATTTAATATTTTAATACAGAAAGGCTATTCCGTGGCCTAAACAATAATGGGAAAAACTGCAAAGCTGATTTTATCCGGAAGGCAAGGAGAATAAAGCAAAAAAGGTTAATTTCAAAGAAGCGAGGTCTCCACAGGCATTTCAAGTAGGGATGCCCAGATACAACATTTTCATTTCTGATAGGTTACATATATTGCAGCTTTAAGTATCAACCACATTCTCTATCAACATAAACCATACATATGTACATTAGGGATGGGACGATTTATGAAAACCCTCCGAACCGTTCGGTTTTGACTGTCTCGGTTCGATTTGCGTGTGTTTCGTTCGGTTCATGCGCTGCTCCTTTTTCTCATAAGCGAAGCGTTTACACTCCAGAGCAGAAGGTGACGGTACTGCAACCAAAGCCAACCACCAGTAGTAAACAAGAAGAAGAAGAAGCAAAGCAGCCAGACACTCTTGTGGCTTAGCAGGGGAAAAAAAATCAGTTGTTGTAGAGAATTGTGTCGGAATGGCGAGTGGGAAAGAACAGGAGTTGGAAGACGCGCCAGCAGCACTTTATAGGTCTGCTGTATGGGACCGCTTTGCATTCAGAGTGACCTACGATGACGGCGGAAAGAAAGTTGTGGATAAATGTGCAACAGTGTGCAAGCATTGTGCAACACGTTTTGTTTATGCCAACAGCAACATGACCAACATGTTATGCTAACCCCGAAATCCCACATACTCCGTCAGCGACCCCCGCTCCGCCCCGCTGCGCTCCAGACCGGCTGCTCAAAGCAAAGCCTACAGCCCCCACTGTGGCTCCCGTCCGCTCTGAGTCCCTTGGAGATGGTAGAGAGCATGTGCGAGATGATTAAATTCAAAGCAGCAAAACATACGGAAATGATCTAGGGTTTCCGTGGATCATTAAAAACAATTACAATCCATTATTTTTTGGGGGATTTTTTCATTGATTTCATAAATTTTTATGGGATTTCGGTGTAACAATCAACATATACCGAATCAAACCGAACCGAAAACCGTGACCACGAAACCGTGAATCGAACCGAACCGTGGATTTTGTGAATCGTTCCACCCCTAATGTACATGGTTCCTTTTGTAGCGTGCAATCTAAGTAAAGTGCCGTTTAGGCAACACTGTTGTCAAACAACAGTCAACAACAATAGGTAAGAGAACAGCTGAATCATTCACTATTAATCAACCGGTTACATGAACTATAAATAGAAGCAGGGTTCCTTTATCCTAGATTTCAGATGCTGGTTGATATATTCTAAATTCAGATATATTTTTTTTAAACTGTTGATTATTTTTTGATTAATCTATTAAAATTCAGAAAGCTAAAGGCTTCTTAAATAATTTAAAATTTTTTTTTTTTTACAAAATTAAACTAGTTAAAAAAAAACTCTTTTCCACTTGAGGAGTTCTGAATAGAGGATATTGACTGACAAAAACATTTTTTGTTATCTTAAATGCAAAATGTTAATATTCTATTTTACAATTTTGGTATAATTACTGCTCTAATTGGGTCGCTCTATCAGCTAAAGGCATATTTTACAGTCTCTATACTCCAGTTAACAATTAATCGATTACTAAATTAGTTGACAATTATTTCAATAATCAATTAATCCGATTAACTGTTTCAGCCCTAATCTGACTGATTTTTTATATAAATATTTGATCAGGACATCCCGAATTATGATTGTAAGACAATAGGTAGAAAGAGGTGTAAAGGCTTGGGAAAGCCTTGAGAGGATTATGACCCAAATCCAACAGAAGAGCTCAAAAGGTCTGGTCTGGACCTGGAGTCCCTGCACTGAAAGTCATTAGACATGTTTAAAAATGTTCTAATTGCTCTCATGTAAAGATGCATTTTTCTGACAAAATCATTTAGTTTTTACAAGATATAAGCCAGATCAATGTTTATCCTTGTTCAATCAAATTGAAAAAGATAAACATTTACCACAATGTGTTAAATCATCATTGAAAAGAGATTCAACTTTCAACTGCAGCAGAAACTTAGACCAACTTTTTTACGACTTTTTTTTGTTAAATCAAAATATCTAATATTTGCCTGTATTTACTGGAAATGAAAGTGGAAACAAAATAGAACTGCTTTTTAATTACTGGAAGAGGAAGTAGTTATAAATAAAGTAACTAAGACAGGAACAAATAGCAGCAGCTTATGAAGATGCTCTGGAGGTGGAAAAGTGGTTGTTTCTATAGACACAGATCCTATTTATAACAAGTTATATTAATTATCCATGACCTGCAACATAAAATATGAATCAAAGCCATGTTCACACAGTTATTAAACATTTTAAGCATTAAAGATTTAAAAAAACATCCTTCCACAACACAGCTAGAGACCACTGCAGCCTGAAATGTATTTGACAACAGGAAACCAGAGTGGGTTGAACTCGGCAGGCACTCAGCTGCACCTTGTTCCTGATCAGCTACTGATAACAGCAAACACCAAGGCACGTTTGAACCCCTCATCGAAAACAATTCAGAATCCTCTAAGCGTTAATTCAAAGAAGATGTGATGACTTTACCGTCCACTCGTTCCGGGGTTCAGGTGGAAAGTCAGTGCCGGCGCTGCTGCCAGCTGCAGCTGTGGACCTGCAGCTGTTGCAGTGAGTCAGGGGCTTGTTCTTTCTGAACGGGTAAAGGGACAGCATGCGGCTTAGCTTGAACTTTTTCTTCTCCTTTTCCATCTCAGCATTTTCCAAGCTGTTGTATAACTCTGCCCTCATCCATAACCCGGAAAACACTGCATTAACTCACACAGCTCATCAGTAAACTTCTCAGAGTACAAGCACACTTCAGACTCCTGTGTGCACTCATGTTAGGGTTTACACTGCGGGCTGCAGGTAAAAATGGAGAAATCTCTCTCTGCCTCTGGTCTTTATCTACTCTCCTGTAGCGGGGGCATCCTGCTATGATGTTTAGAAGTGTTTCTTCTTCTTTTTCTCGCCTCTTCTGCCTTACTGCCTGTTTTGGCCTGATTAGCGTTCTGCCCTCACAGCTGAAAAAAGCTGCAACTAAATCGAGCAGGAAGGAAGAACTGGCTCTTATTCTCAGAGTCCTGCACCCAACCTGTGGAACGCAAACATCTGTGACTAAGAGAGAGAGAGAGAGAGAGACAGACACAGAGCGAAAAAATGCACAAGAGGTAGATCTCACCACAAACAGAGCGACCGAGAGGCAAACAAGTTAGAGGAAAGTGTAGATAACAACAAACAAGCAAATAGTCTGTAAATATAATTTCAGACCAAGCTAAATATATAATTTGAAGTGTTTATTAATAACCTCCTAGATCAAAAAGCTTTATTTTTTGTCGTTTCCCACAATTCAACACAGAAGTAGGAGTTGGCAGAGAGAGGATGATCTGAGCTCACAGCCTGCCTCCTTTCTGCTCAGCCAGTCCCTACAAACAGATATTCTGAGTTATTAGGTTCTCCTTTACCGTTTAGCTCCTCCTTACCCTGCTTTCATCATTGCTCCTAAAACATAGACATCTTAAAAAACTGGCATTTATTTAAAAAGTTCATTTATTTAATGTACATAAATATTCAAGCTTATTGTATAGATTCATTACTTATACACATCTTATAGTAATAAATAGATTTTTTAATACAGAAATATGGAACTGTTAAATGTACATGTACTGTTCAGCAGATGCTTTTAATGATCAGAACTAATTTTGCATGTTATCGCATCAGTGCTTGTGGTTCTGCTGAGGTGTTCAGGAAGCCCAGCCTGCTTTGCTGTAGCTGGTCTGCAATATTGGGCCTGATGTCTCATCTTCCTCTTGATATTGACCAATAGATTCTCTATGAAATGTGTTCACGCCTGTTTGCTTCCCGATCCAGTGCAGAAATTGAAGCTATTGGTTTTGTTAGAAGTTTCAGCAGATGCAAAGCGCCGCTGGAAAATGATGGAAAGCATGTTGTACTTCTAAGTAAAACATATAGGAGCAACATGTCTTTTCAGACTTAAGAGACAACCAGGATTTAAAAACAAACCATAAAAATCTGTTTTAATCTGATCTTTGTTTTATTGCACCCTTAATGAGGTACAAAAGAAAGAAACTGCAATAAAACCTACAAAGGAATAATGTATTTAATCTGTTTTCTGTGCAAAATTGTGTTTGTTGATAGATATCCAAATTCAATTATTAAATTAAAGGTAATTTGTCAATTCTTCTAGTTTGATAGAAGTTTTCAGTCAAAGGAGTTAGATTTAAAAAAAAAATAAAAACCAATACATAAACAGCAGACAAAGAGCATGGTCATTCATACAGCTGGGCTTTCCAGGACCAGAAACTTACGAGTACCAATCAAAAATGTCAACTGTATTTTTATTTCACATTAGTGGATTAAACATCCTGAAGGCAGACAAATTAAAAAAATAAGTGTGTGAAGTGGATGAGAAGCTGCAGAAAGCTTCCAGTGAGGTTGGAACCGTGTTCTGACATTGTCGAGGGCTTACCTGCTGCTGTCTAATATTGGCAAACTCCCTCTCTATCCAGGTGATCTGAGACGCGTTCTATAGGAAGTGATGTAATGTAGCAGTTAACAGCAGTTACAAAAGAATGTCAAAACTGAGGGCTTCCTCCTCATTAATATATGCACTTAAAAAAAATAAAACAGATCATCTACAATCACACACAGTCACACTGAGGCGGAAGGGGGTGAAAGAGGGCATGATGGCTGAGAGATCAGCAACAGGAAACTTCTCTTCCCTTCTAGTTCTCACTTCCTCTTTTTTTGAACCGATCTTACCTCCTTCCTACTTAACACCCTCTGCATGCTAGAGCTATGTTTCCCAGTATAAGGGTAGAGATCAGCCACCTTGTCTGACCAATCACACTAAAAAGGGCTAGCAGTGCACAGTTTTAAAAGAACAGGTTCCTGCGGGGTTTTACGGACTTAAACCGACATGGTTTCCATCTTACTGTGCAGACAGCATGGTTAATGAGACCTAGACCTAAACCTAAACAGTTAGTGCCCATCTGCAAAAATGACTGCCTCTTTTGTTGCTCAGGTAGACTAAAGGAAGGAAAGTCTCAGCTTATCCTTTTAATGATAATTAAAGAGATAGAATATAATGTATTTTACAGCTGAGGAGATGGAAACCCTCACAAGCAACCACAGACCGACCCCCACCTCCTCTTCTCCCAAAATATCACACAACACACAGCTGCCTGAAGCCTTAGGCACCCACACTCTCACACACTTCACATCAGATGAAGGTTACTATCCCGCCTGCACGGAAAGAAAAGAAGTGACCACTTGCCTTTTGGTTGCGATGTTTGGTGCGAAATATGAACCTCCACATAACTGGGTCCTGATATGTCCATGTCACAGACGCTGTCACTGATGACAGCGACGCTCGGCTATCTTACAAATACTCAGTCTTTGTGTCGGTTAGCTAACACTTTGTGTATGCAATACCACAAAGATAAAATCAGCACACACACACATTGACACACACGCAAGAAAATGGGAAGTTATAAAAGCGGGTAAGAGAAGCAGACTGATTTGTTTGGGACAGTAAAGAACATAGAAACATTTTTTTTCTTGAAGGAATAAAGAAGCAAAAACGAAAAGTGACGAAAAGAGCAGCTGCCGTTCTTGCAAGCTCACAGAGAAGTGATGGTAGCTGTTACACAGAATAAAACGGAATCAGGGGCTGTAACTAAGGATTATCTTACAAATTGACTATTAAGTTGATTATTCTTTCAGTTAGTAATCGGATTGTAGATTTTACACAAAATTTTAACCCAGTGCAGCTAAAACTGCGCTTTGAGGACTTCTAGATAGAGAATAGAAATGGACAAAAAGGTCTTTTATCCTGAATGCATTTTGGTATAACAACTGCTTTAAGTGGGTTGGTCTTTAAGCTAAAGGCATGTTTTAGAGTCTCTCTACTCCAGTTAACGATTAGTCGATAATAAAATGAGTTGAAGATTATTATTTTAATAACCGATTAGTCATGATTAATTGTTTCAGGCCTAGATGATATGATTCCAGCAAAAATGATCATAAAGTTTGAATTTTCTTAGGTTTTCTTTACTTTGGTTTGGCCCAACATCATCTCACATACAATTTGTATTAGTTTCAACACTGCAAAACATTGAAATCTAAAGATTTTTTTTTTAAATAAGTGCATTTTTTCTTGAACTGAGGAGATAAGTGAGACCCCATGCCAAAGGAAGAAGACGTTTTACATCTGAAAAAAGAAACAACTGCACTTATTTTATTTTAAGAGTAAAAAGACAGATCATCTCATTTACCTAGTCAAATTAAGAGGAAATATAGTTGATTTAAGAAATGTTTACTTATTTCTAGATAATTTTTGTGGTGCATAATAATATTTTTCAAAGTGAAATAAAGCAAATTAAATCTGTTCCAAGTCACCTAATATTCCTTGTCAAAACCATCCAACATTTTTTGGATATTTTAATAACTTAAGTGTTTAACTTTGTTAAAACTATTTCAACCCATTTTCCCATTAGCAGGTTGTGCCTCACAGGCCTTTAGACTGGTGTAAAAAACTGCAGCCATCATTTTAATAAATGACTAAGGAATTTCCAATCTCCCATTTATATCACCAAACTCAGAGGAGATTTTTGGTTTACTTCCCTATTTAAAACTATTCACCACAAAAGCATAGAATTAATTAATATATTTGGTATAAAGGAAATAGAACTTTCAGACAGATCTCGTATCGTAATATAAATTATCTCTCCTCCTCTTTTACAGTTAGTGAAGGAGTCACCCATGGTTTGCTGCATAGAATAGTTTGCTTTACCTTGAATGCTCCTTTTTCTTACCCCTTTATGAGAAACAGTAAAATATTTCATCCATATGTTGACACTTAGCTGTGCCAAGGGCAGGTGATGCCTTTGTTTCCTCCAGACTTCATTGCAGCAATTTTTTATCATCTTGTCCCAAAAGATCCTTAAACCAGTCTTTCCACATTCTGCAGCTACAGCACTAAAAGAGTCAAAGATTTTTTCCTGTCTTAAAACATCCGGACTGGTCTCCTGTACAACTCTGAATCCAAGCTAATAGCTGCAACTATTAAACCCACAAAATAATTGGAAAACATGAGGCAAAAAAGGGTGATGATCGGTCAAGTATTGGTGCCATCTTCTGGAAGCAAAGGGGCTCAGAGTCTGGTTGCCACTGTCCATCTGGACTGAAGTTTAATGTTTGTTAATAGTTGGCAGACCTGGCAACCGGCAGGAAAACTGTATAGTTGAAGGTTGGAACAAAAGCGGGAAGTGCGCCACCATACTGGCTGGGAGGATTTAGAGTTGTAGCTGTCTGTTTTCAAGTTAAAATGTCTGCAAATCTCTCAATAATGAAGACCCATCAGACTTTAAAAGTTTCATATTTTCCTGTCAAGAGATTAAGAGCAAGGAGATCTCAGGATGCAGGGCTATTAGTGGGTCTTCAAACTAGGTTTAGTGGTAAGGCTTTCTGCTTTTTGGTCCCTTTCAGGTTGCTTTTATGATGGCACTTCAGATGCACACTCCTGTTTTAAAGCGAGAGCGAACACTTCTTTACTAAAGCTTGAAGCTAAACGGCCACATTATTGCCCCTTTCTGCTGTAATTTTTTTATTTTTTTTTCAGACATACAATTATATAATAAAGAAAGTATATGCCCATATAAAATAAATGAAAACAGTCTGAAAAAGGGTGTATTGGCAAAAGCAGTTTAGTTTATAATAAGTTTATAATGCCCACCCGTTTCATTATTGTAATCTACAATTCCAAGCTGTAAATCATTTTGTGGATACACAGAAGCCAACACCATCCAGCTCACACCTGTGGTAACTCCTGGTAAGATGTAAAAAAAAAAAAAAAAAAAAAGTCAAGTACAAGCTTGACCTGTGAGGACCAGCAGAAGAGTGCTGCACTTCTGTGTTTTAGCCACAGGTGGCAGTATCACTAGAATGCGTCTTTAATGTTCCTACTGCTTTACCTCTGCTTTCCACTTTTAAGAAGAAAACTTTGGATGGCAGT